TAGATTCATAATCCAAGTCGTTGAGAATTTTGCTATCAAATTAGGGTTTATCTATCCCTCAATCCGTTCAAACATCATGAGCTGGGCAACTGGAGGTAACTATAAGCACGATGTGGTCAATTAAGAACAAAGCAGACTAAATTTATATAACTTGAGAAAAGTACAAAGCAAACTATCAAGGTCCAACATTTCCAGCCAACTCTGTGTTATATTCCTATTGTTTTTCTCGCTTTCTCTCTTGCTCCGTCGGCTGCAAATTTTAATACAAATTCTGGCATCTGCCTTTGACTTTATTCAATTGTTCCCTTCCCAGCTTCCTTCAAATAGTTCATCGATCATTGGGCAATACATAATATTCTTAGTTTTTTTATTTTTCTGGCATAGAACTTAGCAGATCTCAACAAGGTTTTAAACAAAGCCACTGACAAGATTGGATCACTGTCTTGTCCCTGTTCTATGTCATGCACGTCTGATATAATTTGTAACAAATTGATTGATTATTTTTTAGCATGATTAAGTTTTGGATCGCTTGTATAGGGGCTAAGAGTGTTTTTCGACAATCAAAAGTGTTTTTAACTAAAATAAATATTATTTAGAGAAGCCATATTATGTTTATCTTTACTAATTAATGAAACTATCTTTGTCAACATAAAGAGGATGAAAAAACAACTTAGTATTCTATCACATAAAAATATGATGGGCAATAATGTAATTTCACAAGTCCAAATTTTACTATTTTTTATTAAAGTCTCATTTACATGTGATGTTAAACTACCCCAATATTAAAAAATAAAAAAAATTTAAAATTTAAAAAACCAAAAACAAAAACCTCCCACTCCCTTTCTCTCCTCATTTTCTAAAAAAATGTGTTCATACACACAAAGTGTGTAGGCAAATGCCAGTATTTATGAAGAACTTTCAAATGTTTTTCTAGAAGTACTTGCATTTAAAAAAAAAATTAACTTTTAACAAAAGGAGTTATGAACATATTAGGATTGCAAAAATAGTCACAAACGAGCTCTGAGTGTGTTCAATTTTGTAACAAATTCATTGAGTTTTTTTTTTAGCATGATTAAGTTTTGGATTGCTTGTATAAGAGTATTTTTTGACAATCAAAAGTAATTTTAACTATAATAAGGAAGAACAATCTTAAAACTGACTTCTACGTTGGATAAGTATTCTTTGGAGAAGTCACATTACATCTATGCTTATGAAGAACTTCCAAATGCTTTTTCAGAAACACTCGATTTTTTTTATTCAACTTTTTAGCAAAACACAATTATTAGCATATTGAGTTTGCAAAAATAGTCACAATCGAGCTCTAAGTGTGTGTTGAGTTAGAGTAGGGTAATGTTTTTATGTTAATTAATGTTTAAAATAGATTTATTTTTTTATTTTTTATTTTTACAATTGATAAGGTAATCTACACCAGGTCTAGAAATTCTTAATAGAGTCTCGAATACAAAAACAAATATGCTTAACAAACTAAACTACAAGTTACTTACTGATTAATTACTTAGCCTTTACTCTTGAGTCTCTCATTTCATTTCATGGTTGACTTTTGTTATTGAAAATGCTTACCTAACAATCGGTCGTCAATCGACGCCTCTACCTGGTTGTTGGTGATGTTGCATGCACGCCTAGCTATATATTTAGGTATTTTATTTTCTCTGTTGGAAGACATTGAATTTGAGACTTATTATTATTTTTAGCAAGAATAATTTGATAGCACGATTGTGGCAAAGCATTGCCCATGCAGGAGGAATGATGTCAAACTTTTACCCACCAAATTTTTTAAAATTTATAAAAGTCCGAATATATGGGTTGAAGTCCAAATCCACTTCATATAAACGTACTATAATCACCAGAGTAATCCATCACTTGCTCGTAAATTTTTTATTACCTTTTTTTTCTTTCCAATTTATCATTTAGAATAATACTTATTTTCTAGTGGATAGAGTATTTCGTTTCCCCTCATCCATCCCGAGTTTAGAATTCTTTTCTTCCCTTAATTATTGTAATAGTAAATTAAAATTAAGATATGTTTAGTCAACCTGAAGTATAAAATAAATCAACGATTATGATAAAAATTAACACTATCATGATGATTCAATTATTGAGTCATCATCATTTTTCTGATAGAGACGAACATTAAAATTGAGTCGTGAGTAAGAAAATAAACAATTATGGTTATGATATTGGGACAATCAAAATACGTATTGTCTCGTATATAAATTATTCCAACTTTGGAATGGATGTTTGCGCATACCGTATATAAGACCAGTAGTTATTTGATAAAGTTTAAAGGTCAATTCGCAATGGTTGTGGCTTTTTAAGAATTAATGTGTGGGCAGAGTGAGTTGATGCATCATCATCCATGGGTAAGGCATGACAACAACAATCTTTCAAAATTCTCTTGTGGTGTTTGCTTTGCAGCAGAATTGTGCCTTTTAGAGTGTGTTCCAAGTTCCAACTTCGACATCAACTTCGATAAAGCTACCATGGGTGGTTCAGTGGTTGAGACGAATTTCATATTTATATTCCACATAACACATCATGAGTTCAATTCTTGGTGCTCGTGGATTACACGATGATGGTCATGAAAAGACTAAACTGCTTATGCAAGTCTTCTTAACCTTCGAAAAAGTAGACTATTGTAGCGAATCCTCCCGCTAGTAGCTTTTCTTAAAAAAAAAACAAAAAAAAAACCATCAACTTTGATAGCATTGTTAAATCAATTTCAAAAGGTGTTATATTCGTTATTATTTAATTGGTTACTTGCTTTATTTGATTTGTTAATTGCTCGAGGAAAATTTGTTTTTGCTACATCTAATCAAATAGTTTAATATTTGCCAAGTTGTCATAAAAAAACATTATTGTTTGGGTAGTGTTATCAATAGACACATTTTACTTCTTACATACCTTATTAATTTTAGACCGTTAAATCGAATAAACAGAAAAAGATGCCACATCAAAGGTGATCTATACAATTCCGATCGCGCTCCAATTGACAACGGGCTGGTTTGGTATTACTGTACTTTGAAAAAAAATTGATTCTGATGTGCTGTGAGAATAAACTCATTTTGCTGCTTCGCGTTTTTTAGTTTTTTTTCATTCAAAATTATGAAAATAAGCTGTTTTTAAGTATTTACCAAACATATTTTTGAACTCAACTTTTTTTTATACCTATTTTTTATAAAAGCACCTCAGTACCTCAGTACCAAACCAGTACTATACACAAGAAAGAAACAACTTCAATGCTTAGGTTTGAAGCCCTTCTGAAATATGCAAATAGTAGTTGAACCACCACAAATTTAGTGGGCTCCATTGCAAACTTGTAGACAAATAAAAGTTTGGTGTCCATTGTTACGAAATTAGCCCACTTAACAACTACTAAAGAAAAACCACACAAATTCAATCACTCCACGTATAATAAGGTTCAAAAGTACTTTTAAAATAAATGAAAATATTTTTTGTAAAAGAGATTTTGAAATCAATTTTTAGTAAAAATTTAAGTGGTTTTTGGAAAAATATTTAAAATACTTTATGCAAGAAACACAATATAGTGCTTCTTCCAAAAACACTTGAAGTTTTTTTGGAACCCAAAAATAATTTCACTAAAAACATTTTGAATCATTTTAAATATATTTTCAAATAAGCTCATAGACAAGCGTTTGTTCGAGATGCGAACAAAATGCATTAGAAGGTTGAGATTAAGTAAATTTAAAGGCAATTACTTAAAGTGACATGTGAACATCATCTTCCTCGCAATAAAACCGTAAAAAAAAAGTTGGAAAAACCATAGAACTATCTAGAAGCTCAAGCTCACATGAGCTCATTCTCACGCCACTCTTTCCAATTCGACTTTTCACTTATCAAGCCCAATTCAATTTCGCCACGTCATCTTCCACACCGCATCTTCGTCCGCATATTCCAAAAAAAAAAACAAAAGCGCCGACCCCACTCTCACGCGCGCAACGTGCACCCGGACCACCTTGCTCACCACGCACTTCCCATGAATGCGAAATCTCGAAAGCGGATTCTGCGCGTGACCCAACGGCGGGAGAGCGGAAATCCAGCGGCTAATAGTAAATCAGCGGCTAATACAAAGCCCTAAACGTAATCAACGGCTGCAAAGCGACTTTCTTTTTGTCAAATAAAAACCGCTGCACGAGATCAGGACTACCCACCGGTTATACGAGAAATTTTTAGTTGTGACGAGAATACAGATAGTACATTACGTGTTTTTACGTAACTAGTAGAAAATTTTAATTTTTAAATTATTAACTTTTTAATATACATAACCTATTATTTATATAAAGACACGTAAGGTAGCATCTCGTGCAAATGTGATATTGAAATATGTCTCCGGATTTACCCTTCGCCGCTATATATACTCTCTCGTAACTCACTCTCTTTCACACTACCTTCTAAAACCCTCGATCAGCTTTCTTATCTGCCTCTCTCTCTAGACTATACTTTCTCTCTCTACAATCATCATGGGTATTGATCTATTGATCTCGATTCTCAATTATTGATTTCGATTTCGCCATTTTTGTTTCAGATCTTGTGTTTTTTTGTTTGTTGATTTTTCTGTAATTTTTGTGTGATTTTCTGACCATTTGTTTGTTGTCCTTGTTTGTATCGATCAGCAACATCTGGCAAGAAGATCAAGATCGGAATCAACGGTGATGATCAGATCCATCGCTCCTTGAGTTTTGATTTTTGGTATGTTCATTTGTGATTTGATCTGTGAATTGATTGAGATTTGAATTGAAATGGTTTAGGATTCGGAAGAATCGGACGATTGGTTGCTAGGGTCGCTCTTCAGAGGGATGATGTTGAACTTGTTGCTGTCAACGATCCCTTCATCACCACGGACTACATGGTGAGTTATTTACTTGAAGTTTTGTGTTATTTTGTAGGGTTTTCAGATTTAGGGTTTTGGGTTTTCGATTTCGGATTTGATTAGTGATTTGTGTGATTGTTTTTGTGTTTAGACCTACATGTTCAAGTACGACACAGTCCATGGTCCATGGAAGCACCATGAGCTCAAGGTCAAGGACTCCAAGACCCTTCTCTTCGGTGAGAAGCCCGTCACCGTTTTCGGGATCAGGTACAATTTGTTTCTTACTCTCAGTTATTGAACTTAGCATAGAACCCACTTTGTTGTTTCTGGTGCTATGTTTGATTTGTTTCATAGATTTCAATGCTTAATTGCTCGATCTCTTACAGGAACCCAGAGGAGATCCCATGGGGCGAGTGCGGTGCTGACTTCGTTGTTGAGTCTACCGGTGTTTTCACTGACAAGGAGAAAGCCGCTGCCCACATCAAGGTTTACTCTCTTTCCATTAGTTTTATGATATTATTGCTCTGATCAGTATGGCATGCTTTGATTTAAGAAAATAGCATGTGAAATTTATGGTGGTTTATCATGATTGTCCGTATTGTGATTGCGCTTCTTATATCTGTGTTAGGCATTTGGAATTCACTTAGTACTTTTTAGGTTATTTGGGCATACTTCTTGTTGTAGCCTATTTAGTGATTATGATTTCGTTAAAAGATCTTACATAAGATGCAGGCATTTGGAATTTTTTAATTGTTACTTCTGAAGTTACTTTTGTTTGATCTGTCATAGCCTCTATGGTGATCTTGTCTATGTATGCGGAGTTCATATGGTTTTAGATGTTTACTTTTAAGTTGTAGTGCTGAATTGTTTGGTTTTCCTATCCAGGGAGGTGCAAAGAAGGTTATCATCTCTGCCCCCAGCAAGGATGCTCCCATGTTCGTTGTTGGTGTGAACGAGAAGGAATACAAGCCAGACATCCACATTCTTTCCAATGCTAGTTGCACCACCAACTGCCTTGCTCCCCTTGCCAAGGTTTGAGTCTGTTTGTTGTTGTGGGTGCTTGCTGCTTTCTGCACTAGTGAATGTTTGTGATTTACCTTGTTTTTCTTTTCAATTGTTCATAGGTTATCAATGACAGGTTCGGAATTGTTGAGGGTCTCATGACCACAGTGCATTCCATCACTGGTGAGCTTTTACTCTTGAGTTTTGAAGTTGTATGATTTTTTATAACATGAATTGAATTTGAAACTAACCTAAGTTTATGTTTACCTTGTTATTCAGCCACCCAGAAGACTGTTGATGGTCCATCACAGAAGGACTGGAGAGGTGGACGTGCTGCTTCCTTCAACATCATTCCTAGCAGCACTGGAGCTGCCAAGGTAATTGGTGAATTTTGATTAACAATGCTCTCTACTATTGACTGTCTCTTGTAAGGTGTCTTGCAATGCTATCTTGACTAATGTGTTTGTATGTTGTGTGTTTTATGAAGGCCGTCGGAAAGGTGCTCCCAGCACTTAACGGAAAGTTGACCGGAATGGCTTTCCGTGTGCCCACTGTTGATGTTTCAGTTGTTGACCTTACTGTCAGGCTTGCGAAGCCTGCAAGCTATGACCAGATCAAGGCTGCTATCAAGTAAGCTTTGCTCTGTTCTTCTATATGTTTGGTATCCTTTATCAGGATGTTGCTGTTTAAATAACCATGACGTTGTTGTGGTGCTAATTTTTATCTGTGATTCTGTCATGAACAGAGAGGAGTCTGAGGGCAAGCTGAAGGGTATCTTGGGATACACCGAAGATGATGTTGTGTCCACTGACTTCATTGGTGACAGCAGGTAAAATATTAAATCCATTTTTGATGAATGTGGTATTGTTATCCATTGTCAATATTATGTTAAAACAGTTTTGAATCTAAGTTTGCCCCTTAAAAAACGTAGGATTGTTGTGCTCTCCTATGGTGTTTTTGCTGATTGTTCGTTAGATACCATGAATGTAGCCTAATTAGGTGTTTTGGTGCTCTTGCAGGTCAAGCATCTTTGACGCCAAGGCTGGAATTGCATTGAACGATACCTTTGTCAAGCTCGTCTCATGGTATGACAATGAGTGGGGTTACAGTACCCGTGTGGTTGACTTGATCGTGCACGTAGCATCCACCCTCTAAATCCATAATCCTTGAGGATCCAAGGCCTTTATTTTCCAAGTGTTGAGTGTCTCTAGGCTTTTCAAGTGTTATGGTTTGGAGTTCAGAATAAGAAGTGTTATCTTGTTTCCTCTCGTAGTTTTCTATTTTTTATGCTTTAGACATTCAGTTTTATGGGTTCGTCCTCTCCTCCCCTTTTTGCTGATTAAAACGCAAATATGGCATTTTGTACTCTAGTTTTTGCAAGTTTGAATATAAAGGCAAAATTGAGGGGGTTGTCGTATGGAATGTGTTTCTCTTATTCTGCTTCTACCCTCGATTGCTTGTTTGTTATTTTGCTTGCTATTATTCTCCTTGGTTAGCTTAAGCATTGTGATGTTTGCCAACCCGAGGACAATTAACGGTGTTTGATTTCATGTCCGATTCTCTTCGGGTTGGCAAACATATGTTGTAGAGAAGCGGTAAGTTTATTGTGCGAAGTTTAATAGATCATTGCAGCTATGCCAGCTGAGGTGGTTTATTCCTTATCAACTGCAGTCTACACTGTCGAAGTCCCAACCAATCACTGCCTTGGGTGTCGGTGCCATTTTTCCTAATTCTATTGTGGAGACTATGAGACGGAGGCATTTGGCAAAAGCATAAAAAATAAAAAATAAAAAACTAATGAAAAAGTGTTGAAAACTTTGAGTTTTAATGGTAAGGTTAAAAATAAAGGGTAAAGTAAATAATACAATGATTGATTTTTTTAAGTGTAAAAATAGGGTTTTTCGTTAAAGTGAACAGTACTCGGAGTTTTTTATTAAAATTTTCTAAAAAAAATCCGATACAAGAGAAAATCGGTTATGATAGTTTGGACATGTGAATTAAAGACTTATATGCTTCGGTTAGAATATGCGATTATGACACAGAGGTTTGTGGCAAAAGTGTAGAAGAAGACTAGGAAGAATTTGAAAGAGACCATAAAAAAAGATATGAAATAGTTGAAGCTACCGGAATACTTAATGTAATGACGTTGTATGATTATGCAGCTGACTCCACTTTGTGAAATAAGGCTGGGTTATTGTTGTAGTGGTGAAATCACATCAAGAATTTACACCGAGTGAAAGACCTCAGCTTCTACATCATCTCCTGTGAAATTGCTTTCTGGACACGCCGGCTTTGTGTGCATTGGGGGAGAGTGCTACAGAGGCCGCGCTTAGGTCGTTAAGGGTTGGCTTAACTTGGACAACTCGCTAAATTTTAGATGATTGGATAGATGGGGTCATCCGTTTCTTGATTTGCATTTGTCGTTGTTATCCTGGACGAATCTTTTGACTGTTTGTTAGAAGGTGATGCTGCATTTCGAGATATTGTTGGATCACGTGGACCCTCTAACTCATGTTTCCATCTCTCTATCTCAAATAAACAAATAAAGATTATATGAATTTCATTTAATTAAACTTGTCTCGTTATCCCATAATATGTTAAAAAATGACCGTTAATTTTTTTTGAACAAACGATAAAATGTTCATTAATTTTGTTAAAAAATGATCATAAATAAAAAAAAAGTTCTTATGACTCTTCCTCTCTGGGTACCCATCAAGCGACAAAGCCGTCATTTTAGCTAGAATTTCTCAAAATTTAAACTCATTTAACAATAATAAATAGGTTAATGAGCATTACAACTACTTGAGGATAATGAGCAAAAACATACTCTTAGACTATCACTTAGTGCGTCTAAGAAAACAAAAGTTATAGTCGTCCCTTACGAAATTTTCTAACTCCGTCCTTGCCACCCACTTTTGATGAACTCCCAATTTATTATTGGCTTTAGTGACAGTTAACGATAAAGTGCCGAAGTTCTCATGAATGTGTAGTGAAATGGGAGATACATGCATTCATGTTTCTCAACGACAACAAATCAAACTGTGCACATGCCATTTTGTCCTCTCGTTTAAAAACTAACCACCCAACTTTCTATTTATAGTTATACACCTTGATTATTAGGACAACCCTACCTTAGGATACCCCCACCCTCGGTATGACCCCTCTATCCTTCCTTCTGCCCTACTTGAATTTTTTTTTTAGTACATCAATATTTTTACATTAAAAAGATGAAAAGTTCGGTTAAGCCACACAATGAGCAACCTAATTTGGTATCGAATTTGCCGTCCATGAGATTCGAACTTAAAACCTCTCACTTTCAAGTGAAAATAAATATTACCAGACCGTATTACTAAAAAATTAGACCTTTTGTAACAACATCAAAGTAGTGATAGATTCCTTAAAATTAAGGGACGGGAGTACCCACGAACAACTCTTGGGTAAGTGCTATGCATGTGTGAAACTGAAACTTGTGGGTGTCTTCGAGCGAACGGACGACTTTACAGAAAAGCTGTTACCAAGAGTCGATTGAACCGGCACCGCCGGTCGTTTGAAATCCATCCCTCCATAAAAAAACATGTCCTCAAAACAGTTGAACGAACTACTTTCGCCTAGTTTGGTCCGTCACCAGTCACCTATGCAAACATTATAAAACACCCTCTCTCTCTCTCTCTCTCTCTCTCTCTCTCACTCTGTCACTTCAAATCTCAATCTGCACTGGACTCTCAGGGACCCAAAGCTAATCTGTATCATTCGATGCTTTTGTCTCTACCTTTCCCTCCACCATGTAAATTAGTAAAATACCCTCCAAAAATCCCCATTAAATCAAGTGGCCATTTTCCTCTTGTTTTGTTATTATCTTCCTACAATCTCCTCACTTTTCCTCTCCCCTGCTTATCTTTTCACCTCCATAGCTTCATCTGGAAACAATGGCCTTTCCTGCTTTATCTTCTCCTCCCAGTCCTCCAATCTCAATTTCTCAGTACAAAATCTGTTGGGTTTGATCCAAAACTGCATGTTGTTCTCATACAGTTGATGGGTCACTTCTCCCATCTGTTTTTTTTCTTTTTTTGGTTTAACAAACTCAGTTGCATTGGTTTTTATACCTTCAAGCCAATAAAAAGCTTAAATCTTTAGCTTTTCTGCAACTTTCCCACCAAAATGAACTTCATTTCTTATCCTTTTGGGCTCTTCCACTTTCGCTTTATATCTCATCTCTGATTTGCTTTTGCGTGCTCTGTTTTTCTGGGTTTTGTGTTTTGCCTCCACGTGTTTGACTAAATTCCTCTGAGAGTTGCTATTTGAGTTTTTGGTAGCCATTTCTTGTGTTACAATGCCACCATCTTACTTCCCTTTAAGGTGGGAAAGCACCGGAGACCAATGGTGGTATGCATCACCAATCGATTGGGCAGCAGCCAATGGCTTATATGATTTGGTCAGTGAGCTTCTTCACCTTGACACCAACCTCCTCATCAAGCTGACCTCATTGCGCCGCATCCGCCGCCTTGAAACTGTCTGGGACGACGAGGCTCAGTTCGATGATGTTGCCAAATGCCGGTCACAAGTTGCCAAGAGGCTCCTCCACGAGTGCCAAATGCAGAGGGGACACAACTCTCTCATCAGGGCCGGCTACGGCGGATGGCTTCTCTACACTGCGGCCTCGGCCGGGGATGTAGGGTTTGTCGGGGAGTTGCTGGAGAGAGACCCTCTTCTTGTTTTTGGAGAAGGAGAGTATGGAGTCACTGACATCTTCTATGCTGCTGCCAGGAGCAAGAACTCTGAGGTTTTCAGGCTGCTGCTTGATTTCTCAGTGTCTCCAAGGTTTAGCCTCAGTAATGGAGAATTCGAAGAGAGGTTGGGTGATGTTACATCGGATTTCAAGTGGGAAATGATGAACCGGGCGGTTCATGCCGCTGCTAGAGGTGGCAATTTGGAGATTTTGAGGGACCTGCTTGGGGATTGTGAGGATGTTTTGGCTTATAGAGATGCTCAGGGATCTACCATCTTGCATACAGCGTCTGGCAGAGGGCAGGTTGAGGTGAGGTCACATATATGCTTGTTACCTTGTTAGATGATTGAATTTAGTTACTTTGGTATCGTTTCGTAGAATGTTGATGTAATTGAAGGTACTCTGGATGTGATACTTAGTAAGGTTTACAGAAGACGGAAAGATTTTTCTTCACTTATTTTCTTATTTTTTCAGTTTATGTGTGTGCTTATTTGGCTTCAACATCTTGATGGCTGCTCACCAAATTTAATGTCCTCACAGGCACCAAAACTTGACTTAAATACTCTTTCTATACATGAAAGGAAGTCTCTTTTTCTTCTGTTTAATTCATTTTCTTGCTTGGTTATGTAAAGATTTGAACCTGTGAATATATCATTCATCGGTTGATGAACATGCAGAGTGTCTTTGCTGACTGATTTTCGAACTTTCTTTTAATCATTGAACTATTACTTGCAATGTTAATGTTGAAGTTTGATCATCCTTTCGTGCAGGTGGTTGAGTATCTAATAGCATTCTTCGATACCATCACAATAGTAGATAATCAAGGGAACACAGCTTTACACGTGGCCGCTTATAGGGGTCACCTGGCTGTGGTGGATGTCCTAATTCGTGCATCTCCCTCGTTAACCATGTCATCAAACAACTATGGAGACACCTTTCTGCATTTGGCAGTGGCTGGTTTCAGAAGCCCTGGTTTCCGGAGACTGGACAAACAGATTGAGCTCCTTAAGCAATTAGTATGTGGTGATATTGCGAACATGCAGGACGTTGTTAATGTTAAGAACAATGATGGACGAACTGCTCTTCACATGGCTGTAATTGAGAATGTTCAATCTAATTTGGTGGAACTCCTCATGACTCTTCCATCAATTGATTTGAACATCCGTGACTCTGGCGGCATGACCCCTCTAGATATTCTTAAACAAAGGCCGAAGTCAGCATCGTCCGAACTTCTGATCAAGGAAGATTTCAGCTGGAGGGATCTCCAATCGTCAGGACCGTAAAGCAAGGAGCGCCCTTGTTTCCCATTTGAGAATGCGGGGTATTGGAGGCAGTCTGGGAACCTCTTTCAGAATTCCTGATGCAGAGATATTATTATACACGGGCATTGACAATGCTTCTGATGCCAATTGCGATCAGTCAGGTGTGCAATTCAACACGTTCTCAGGTGAGCTAAGACAGTTTGGCTCACCCAACACAGTAAACAATAAGAAGTCAAGTTCTGTAACTTATGCTGCAAGGCGCCTTAAGTTTCTTCTTCAATGGCGGAGGAGGAAAGAAAAAAAGGAATCTAGCATAGACTTAAGAGATAATGATTCTGTGGAGTCATTTAGCACCTGTGTAGATTTGGACGACAAAATCCAATCCCTCTTCGGCAGATGTATGCCAAATCTTCCTCCCTCCCAAACAACAAAAGGACAGTTTCCGTGAGGAGTTTTCTTCCGAGTCCATACACTAAAATGAAATTTACTGCTGGTTTATCACACGGTGTGATTCAGGCAAGATCATCTATGTCTTCCCCTAAGTTCATGGACAAAGAGAAGGGTGTTGACATTTTGGGACCCTCTAGTTCAAATGGCAAACCACCACATCCACAAGCGAGCTTCAAACATAATTCCCTCAGTAAGAAGTTAATAAACCAATATTTGTCTGTTGGCGCACAAGCCCTGGATGTGAATGAATCAATTAGCTCCACTTGGTCGAATCAAAATCACAAACACTCCGGTCCTCTAGTTGCTTGATCAGAATGTACAAACGGGTTGGTGTTCTTGCTTAGACCTATAGATAGATTAGAATTGTGGTGAGTTCTCAAAAAGTTCATTTCTTTATCGATACACTTCTGTCTTTATTATCCTTTCCCCCCTTACCGATCACATATTTTTATAATCTTTGTGGATATGTGCATAGTTTCATACTAGTTGTAAAAGTTGTCTGAATAATGTTCAAGAAATGTTAAAGGGTTACATGTTTTATAATATCTGTGCATATTGTGTTTTCCCTGCTGTTCTCGTTTTTCTTTTCATCAAACTATTGGTTAGAGACATGAATATATTTGCTGATGTGTTGAATTTGCTTGTCTTTCATACCTCTGTAAAGCTTTCGATATCAGATTACTGCTAACAGCCACAATCTGCTCTACGGTTCTGTATAATCGACTTGAAACTCAGATTATCACAAACACAAAAGCAGATCACGTACGGAAAGGTGATGTTCAAGATGTCTGTCATTTTCGCGTTAACATGTATCTCTGATTTGTTTCCGTCCACAAATTTGATTTCTTAGTTTGCTGTAACATGATGTGTACTTGATACACCGGCCAGAATTCCTCTTTACAGGAGTCATCTGCCAGAAGAAATTTCGTACAGTATTCAACTTTCTTCTCTTTTTCCATTTTTCAGTTACCCATATTTCCCAAATTACAAATACGAGGATGCAAAGTCGATGTGGAACTCAAAGTTCGCTCTCGGCATGACACTTCGACATAAGTTATGTCCTAGCTCTTAAATATAAACCAAAAATGAGTTAGGGTTATGATTGCTTAGCGGTTTGGATTATGATAGATTGTGGATTCAATCTATTTGAAAAATATCTTAATACCAATAAAATAAATAAAAAAATAAAAGAGACGAGATCACCAAAATAATGCCACCGATGAGCTTAGTATGTGGATGGGATGCCCTAGAGAGAGAGAGAGAGAGAGAAATGTGGGAGCCTGTCTTAAAGACAAGGACATGGTCCCCCTGGAACCATGTTTGAAGGGTCTCAGAGGTCAAGTCCCCCCAGGAGTTTGGAGACAGTTAGGCTGGAGGGACTTAGGGTTGGCTTTCACGGGTAATTTTACATTTGAACCCTCTGGAGGTTACGGATAGAGCAAGTTGTCAAGGACTAGGAGTGAGAAAATAGGGGCTTGGTGGTAATTTTCCATACTGTCATCCTGATCAAAGACTCCCCCTAAACGGAAGGCTTTCCTTTTCCTAATCTGGCCAACGCTTTTGCTATTTTGGGCATTCTTGCATTCTACTGACTAGTATATAAACAAAGGTCATGGCTTTGTGAGTTCGATCTGTTGGAGAGAGAGAGAGAGAGAGAGAGAGAGAGAGAGAGAGAGAGAGAGAGAGAGAGAGAGAATGGCAGAATCATCGATGGAAGCCGAAGAGGCGAGGCAGAAGAAGATTGAGGATTGGCTTCCGGTCACTTCTTCTAGGAATGCCAAATGGTGGTACTCAGCTTTCCACAATGTCACTGCCATGGTTGGGGCTGGTGTCCTCAGCCTTCCGTATGCCATGTCTGAGCTTGGATGGTATGTATATGTCTATACGTTCGTTTCATGGCAAGTAATTTTTGCTAACCTTCGGACTGAATAAATCAGAGGAAAATCAAGGGGCAGAAACAAGAAAATGAGTGCACAAGGAGAAAACAGGAGTGTGAACATCACTAAACTACCCTTTGTTTTGTTTCATGACTTTCATTCCTAAAATTTGATTAGGAATCTTGGAATTAACACCCGTAGTGTAGCGATTTTGGCACTCCTCATTTAGCCATATGCATTCCAAATTGAATGTTACAAAGTTACAATTTTTGTATATGATCTCTATCTGCCAATTTCAAACAGAATTTTGATTCCTAACAAAATGAAATGGGCTTTTCCATTTTTGGGAAATTAAAATCACAGGGGTCCTGGTGTGGCTGTCATGCTTCTGTCATGGATCATCACCCTATACACACTGTGGCAAATGGTAGAGATGCATGAAATGGTGCCGGGGAAGCGGTTCGATCGGTACCACGAGCTGGGACAGTATGCCTTCGGGGAGAAGCTGGGGCTCTGGGTTGTGGTGCCCCAACAGCTCGTTGTGGAAGTTGGTGTCAATATTGTCTATATGGTCACAGGGGGAAAATCATTGAAGAAGTTCCATGATGTGATTTGCCCTAGCTGCAAAGACATCAAACTCACCTTATGGATTTTTATTTTTGCTTCTGTCCACTTCGTTATCTCCCACCTCCCCAACTTAAACTCCGTCTCTGGTATCTCACTTGCCGCTGCAGTCATGTCCTTGAGGTAATTAATTAAAGGAAAAATTAGTTTCCGGTCCCTAGTTACTAATGTTTATTGGTTGAAACTTTATTAGTTTTCAAATTTTAATCCAAGTCCTTAATTACTAATGTTCATTGATTGAAACCTTATTAGTTTTCAGATTTTAATCCAAGTCCTTAACATTAATGTAGTAATGAATTTACATGTCAGTTATATAATTTTTTAAAATAAAAATTAATAATTGATTTAGAATTTTAATACTCAAACCTTTATTAAACTCCTAACTAATAAGGGTACATTCTTTTTTCTTTGATTTGAGAATGTATCCATGTCAAGTTTAATCGAAGAAATTTACTAATGTTATTAAGTCTAATATTGTTTTTTTTTTTTTTTTTTTTGTTGTGATTTTGAAGAATGTTCCCATGTTTTGGTACAATAATTTTTTGGTTAATTTTGATGAATGTACCCATGTCTATACACACACACACACAATAGTATATTTATATTTTAATATTTTTAATCGCACAAATTATGGTTTTTTATTTAAAATCTTATTAATATAAACAACTATAAATTTCAATTTTTAATTTAAAAAATATAGTACCATACATAGAAATAAATTATCACATTAATTTCAGGGATTTCGATCAAAAATTAAAAACTAACAAGGTTTCAATAAAAAAATATTCATAACTAGGGACCGTATCCAAAGTCTTTCTTAATTAAATCCCCCAATTAGTATCGTTAATCTAGAGATTTCTTGATTCCCAAGTAATGCTATCGAGACTAATTACAACCAAATTCCCAAAATTTTATAATTCGAACTGAAGTGGACAGTGTTTTGCTTGTTCGTATGTATACGTAGGTTTATTCAAAAGCTACTGCGCACAATCATTTGGCCGTGACAAAAATTTAGGGTTACTTTTTCTTGTGATCCGATTTCTTTCCATTCCTGTGTTGAATCTTGTTTGTGATCATATGCAGTTACTCAACGATTGCATGGGGAGCTGCCATACACAGGGGGAAGGCACCGGATGTGGACTACAGCTACAAAGCTAAATCCAATTCCGGAGCTGTCTTCAACTTCTTTAGTGGCTTGGGAGATAGCATTTGCCTATGCCGGCCACAATGTCGTTTTGGAGATCCAAGCAACGATTCCTTCCACACCCGAGAAGCCTTCCAAGGGACCAATGTGGAAAGGAGTGGTTGTGGCATACATTGTGGTGGCTTTGTGCTACTTCCCTGTTTCTTTTGTTGGCTACTATATTTACGGAAACACTGTTGAAGACAACGTCCTCATCTCACTCGAAAAACCTGTCTGGCTAATTGCAGCGGCTAACATGTTTGTTGTGATCCATGTCATTGGAAGCTACCAAGTTTTCGCAATGGGAGTTTTTGACATGGTTGAAACTTTTCTCGTCACGAAAATGAACTTTGAGCCTTCTTTCACCCTTCGCTTCGTTACTCGCACGACATATGTTGGTACGTGAACTGAGTTAGCTTCCAATTCTCCTCACTACTGCAAAGTGCTTTCCTGATTTGCACGCTAATATTTCAGTACTGACCATATAATGTGTTCTTAATTTGGCAGCATTTACCATGGTCGTCGGTATGGCCATCCCTTTCTTTGGTGGCCTTCTCGGATTCTTTGGAGGATTGCTTTTGCCCCAACTACATACTTCGTAAGCAAATTAAAGGATTCAATGCTCTTATTTTCCATACATAAACACACACACACACGTACCCTTTTTCCCTCCTCAGGTTTGCGAATTTGCAGTAACGCTTCGATAACATGTCAAATAGAGCTTAACTTTCCAATGCTGTTCTTAATTTGCAGCTTCCCTGCATCATGTGGCTCGCCATCTACAAACCTAGAGTTTTCAGTCTATCTTGGTTCATAAACTGGGTATGCTACGCTTTCTTTTGCTTCGATTACTTGTTCTTCGGGCTCACTCATAGTGCTGACTTATAGTTTTATTTCAGACATGCATTATACTGGGAGTTACCCTGATGATTCTAGCACCCATCGGTGCCCTACGGAGTATCATCTTGCAAGCGAAAACCTACAAATTCTTCTCTTAAATTGCAAATTTTACCTGCAGCAAAACATTCATCTCTACTCATATTCAAAGCTCGAAGTTAGACAGATATGATGACTGTTGCTTGACCACCAAGGCAACCCTTCAGCGTTTCTGGATTAACTGACTTTTGGTTCCGTCCGACGATCACGATGGGACTTGAGACAAGGGCGACCTCCTCTTGGAGAGTTCTTGCAGAATAATCATGTCTAAATAGTATTTGTTTAATTCGTTAATCGTTTATGTAAACACAACGCTATGGAAAAAAGAAACGAAAAAAGGAATTAGATTACTTGGTCTGCAAGCATTGTTCAACATGCAGTAGAGATATTTCTACAATCATCTCCATTTACGGATTTTTATTTAATTTTTTTTTTAAATCAAACCAAAAAAATTTAAAATAAAATTCCGAATTAAAAGTCGGACAAACAACTTAAAAACATACATATATAGCATGATATATATCCAATCTTGTGCAACTAAAAGAACTAAGACCTTAAATTAACCCATGAAGCTTAAACCATTACTACTACCACGAATCAAAGTTGAGCAGCCATAGAGCTCACTGCATCTAACCAAGAAAGAAGATGTAGAACAATGGCGGATTTGGAGAAGGTTCAGTCTTAGTGATCCAATAGCACGTAATAGCGGAAATGAAAAATTCAGATAGAGGGTTTTGAGAGAATGATTGGAATGAGGAATGATAAAAGAAGTGACAGAGGTATTCGTATACGAGCATGACTAAGATCAAGTCATCACAAAGAACTTGTTATGTCTATGACTAAAATTACACGTAATGTTACTTATTTATGCATTACGAGTTATAATTGCACAAATGAATATTTTTTTCTTCTTTTAAAAGAGGGATCAGCGGGTGGCTTTGCAAATACATTCCACCATTCCAGGGGCCGGCAAGAATCATAGAGGCATATCAACATTTTTCTGACCACTAGGTCGGGAATTGAACCCAAAACGTGTCGTGTGGAATACGGGCCTGAAATTCACCTTCAATCACTGGACCACCCCGTGATGATTGGATAATGTTAATAGAATTGCATGTTATAGCTTGGGTGAGGTAACCCTACATTACGTCCATAAGAAGGATTTCAACTAGAGTTGGGCATTGTTTGGGGTCAATATAGCTGGGCTTACTATTGCCAATTTGTACAGTTGTTTTGGGCTTTTTCGCTTTGGCCCAAATTGTACTAAAAGAAGGAACAATTAGTCTGAATTTATGAACGACATGTCGTTGCAGTCATGAGACGTGGGAATCGACAATAAAAAAGGTATAGGAAATAAGGAACAGTGTTACCCGCCAAATATCTCAATCTTCCCGCCATTTCTCTGCAACTCCCAGAGTGGCAGCTTTTGAAACCCTAGAGAGAGAGAGAGAGAGAGAGAGAGAGAGAGAGAACCAGAGCGCGCAACATGGAAGGCCAAATCAAAGAGGAGTTCAGCAGCAGCGGTTTCACTTTCGACGACGAAAAGGAAATCCTAAGAAAATGTAAGATCTTTCGCATTTTTGTTCCCAATTGAATTCAATCCCTAATTTTTACAAAAGAGTGCGTATTGATGCCTCAATTGTCGATTAGGTGCTACATTCTGCATAAATTTGAGTCTTTCGCCTTCCGATCTCGTTACGAGCTGGGAAATTTACTACCTCAACAGGTTCATCTCTCTCCCAATTTCCCCAATTTACGATTTTTACTCTAACTTTTGGAATCTGAGGATAGTTTTAACTTTAGTTTTAGTTTTTTTTTGTTTTTTTCTGTATAATGTATTTTTGTTATGGTCGCCGGAGAAAGGGATTAATTTTGTAAATAGACTTGTTTGCCTTTTTTTTTATTTTTTGTGATTAACTTGCGTTGCCAATTATAATCTGCTAAAATGTGATTTTGGGGCAGGCAAATGAATGGAACGGTGGTACGCGATGTGGAAATGGATGGGTTTTTAGGGTATTTGCAAGAACAGAAGAAAGTAGCCATCGATGAACCAGAGCCCAATCTGCATATCTACTCAAGCAGAGATGTGGACATGTGAGCACAATATATGGTTTTTTCACTTTTCTGTTTATATCTGTAGATGTTTGTGTGTTTGTGCGGCTTGAATGATTGTAGATATGGGGTTATTGTGACTCTAGTTTCAAAATTCAGTATTTGACGAGAAACTGCGTGCAGGATTCTGAATGATGAGTATGTAGATATAAAGGACGAGGTTCCTAGCACTCCACCAACCGAATCTCAGAACCATTACTCAGTGACGTCTGACTCAACACCACAAACAATTGGGAGCGTTCCTTCTTCTGGAAAACCATCAAGACTTGTAACTCCTTTTGGGCGACGAACAGACAAGTTTGTTGTGAAATTCAGCATCAATAATAAGCCAAATATAGAGAATGGGGAGAAGGAAGGTAATGAGAATCCTGGGGATGATGAATTCATCAGGAAGGTTAAACCTGGAAAGTGGTGTTCTTTAGTAATCCATGGTTCAGGACCTGAAACAGGTTGTAGGTTTATGTACGATAGAATTGAAGATAGGGTAAGTGAAACTTATTATAGTATGTTGATCTTAACCTCCATATATAATTATATATTCTGAACTAACTTAATATTTTGCTGATTTAGTTTAACGCACTTGAAAACCGAATTAGAAAGTATGCAACTGCATTAGTTTCATCTGGCCAGTATGAGGAACCGCTGGACCCTACAGTTTCGTCTCAGGTATGGTACCTCCCCCTCCCCCGATAGTGGGAAGGTGTTTTGGAAACTCAACCTCTCCAAGTCATCGTGAAGCTGTTGATGTAAACTTGTTTTGTTTCAGAAAATTATGTTTACTGCTGGCATGATCTGTTGTGACGGAGAGGGCCATTTGAACGACAAATCCACCTTGTTGCAGTGCAGGTAGAAAGTCCTGGACGCTCCTTTATACTCTTCATGTGAAACAGTTTACTAACATCCACACAAGGAAAGCAATCTTTGCATATGTTTAGCTATTAAACAATAGTGTCTGAGGATCTTAGCCTTCCCTCAGGCAACACTCTCTTGGAAAGGACTTGTTAAATGTGAAGCACAACTACCTATGTTTTACTTCTGTACACAACTTAGAGACACTTCTGGTAATCTATAGTTTTTTCTTTAGATAAGTATTTTATCTTTCCCATTCAATCTTTGACAGTGCAGAGCATTCTGGAGGCCAACGTGTTCGTATGGAATTACAACATTTGAGCCAATTTTCAATCTTTCCAGGCCAGGTATGGAAATTGGACATGAAAGACATAGAACCATGGTCAGATTTTAAAGTTTGAAATACTGTAGTCTAAATCTAACATGGAAGGATTGCATTCCTGCAGGTAGTAGGTTTTGAAGGGACCAATCCTAGTGGACACTGCTTCATTGCTTCAAAATTGATAGATTCAGTCCCTTTACCTGTTGCTGCTGATGGAAACTTGCCTCCTGCTAAAAAGCAAGCTTTGGATCAGGAGATTTTGCCAACTGATCAGTCCATTAAACAACCAGAGCTATCAGTGGTATGCAAACTTTTAGTCTATGTTACTCGATGAGAGGCAACTGTGGACATTATTGGCTTATTAATTACTGCTGTTTTTTTTCTTCTGACCTTTCATAATTCTGTGCAAGTTTGTTTATCAGTGTTGGTAGCCTATAATTTCTGTATTTATACAGATCATCGCATCAGGTCCTTTTACCACAACAGACAACTTATTGTTTGAGCCTCTGAAAGAGCTTCTAGCATATGCAAGCAAAAAACTGCCTCAGTTGCTTATATTGGTGAGTACCAACTTTTCTTGAATTGGATTTTTCTTAAACAAGATTATACTGCTTGAACCATTCATGTTGTTTACAAACTGATCTTTTTTTTTTCTTTCTCAGCTAGGACCATTCATTGATTCTGAACATCCAGAAATTAAGAAAGGAACGGTCGACAGGAGCTTTGATGAAATATTCCAAACTGAGATTCTTAGAAAGGTATCTACTCAGAGCGTTGTGTAATAGTTGTGCTGAAGAACTCTCTCTATGTGTTGGTTTTCATGCCCTTTTTCGTTTTATCTTATTTTCAGTTGCAAGATCATGTTGAATACATGGGTTCGCATGCACGAGTTGTTCTTGTACCATCTATACGGGATGCTAACCATGATTTTGTTTTCCCTCAGGTAATGTTACTTCTGAGTAAAAGTAGTATATATCTGCTTAATTTGCTTACATTTTTTTTGGTAAATAATTTGTTTACAATTCATTGAGATGATAATAGAATGTAATGTCTTGGTTGTGCAGCCTGCCTTTGATATTCATCCACCTGACCTTAAGCATCAGGTACATGTTTGTAGATTTCGAGCTTTCATCATTCAAAATCCCTAATAATTAGTTTTCTGCGGTTATGCTTACTAAACTGATTTTACCTTTCGTACTCAGATAACCAGTCTCACAAATCCAGGGATTTTTGAGGCAGATGAGGTAACCAAGCGCTTGCCCTGAAAATGACCCACCTCTGTAAATTTGCTAAAATGAGTGTTGATGCTAGAGTTATCAGTTTTATTTATATGAATTGAAACTAATGTGACGGGTGTCAATTACCAAAAACGACTCGACCACTAACTCAGTCCCGGGGGTAACACGACGTGGTCCAAAATTTTATTATCTGAAAAGCTCGGATTCTAATTTAGTAGACAAGCTTGGCCAAGAAAGATGGATTGGCAAATAAATGAACTGTAACTTGATTGAGCTCTATCCATGACCATTTTATTTTTATCTATGGACGTTACAAATCCTTCGATCCCTGCTTTAGTTGCATCGATAAGCCAAAGTATGATATGATATGGACAAAGTTTTCAACCACATATTGGTTTCAGGTCAAGATAGGTTGCTGCTCTGTGGATGTTCTCAAACACCTTAGTGCAGAGGAGATGTCGCGCATTCCAAAGGGTGGAAAACCCAGTGACCGGTTGAGTAGACTTGCAAACCATATAATTAGCCAACGCAGGCACGTCCTAATCTCTTAGAAGTTCTTGCGCATGATGGTGGTAAGGTCTATATGGTTTGAGGAGCTCTACTATCTGATATTCTAAACTTATTTTGCAATTTTTTTGGGACAGCTTTTATCCTCTGTATCCACCAGCAGAAGACACTCCATTGGATTTTTCGCTTGCTCCCGAAGCTCTAAACATCTCATTGATCCCAGATATTCTCATCTTACCCTCTGACATGAAGTATTTTGTGAAGGTAAATGGTTATTCCAATTTCAACGTCAAAGCAATTCCAATAAGTCGTACAGAAAGGTGCACCTCACTCGCTCCGATAGTGATTGGGTTTTAAATTTTGCGACTGAGAGATATGTAACCAAGATGTTGAAATGTTTACCTACAGAAGCTAACGGGGATTTTACTTGTTTGAGTATAGGTACTGAATCTAGGCGAAAGAGGTGAAGAGAAAGAGCAGGTTAAATGCATTTGTGTCAATCCGGGAAGACTTGCCAAGGGAGAAGGAGGAGGTACTTTCGTCGAGCTTGACTACTACGGTAATCCTGACACAACGAACGCTTCGATTATAAGCATATAAACATCGGATTTAAGTTAAATTTGTTGTAACTTGTACTCAATTTGCAGTAAGTTTCAAAAAGCTCAATAGGCTAGGGTCGATTGCACGTCATTTTATGTGCTTTGTAACGACTGATGGTGATAAATTTATGGTGCATTTCATGCAATTATTAGTCACACTCTGTGGTAGGCTCCCCAAGGAAGAATCAAACTCATGCGCAGAGAGTCGATGTAAGACCCTGATAGGAAGTTTGGACCCTTCTCCATAAATGACAACCAATTAGTGAAGAAGACCAGCCTGTCTAATGTAACAGGGATTCCATTCCGTGCGCTGATGGTATTCTAAACTAATCACGCATTATCATATAAGAAATTTAAAAGCATTATTGTCTCTTATTGGTTCGTGTTGATGTTCTTCTTTGGCATGTTACTCAACTAGCCCCCTTAGTTGATATGATTCTTGATTTTTAGGCCGTTTTAAACTTCATTCGTATTAGTAAACACATGAAAATTGAAGTATTGGAATCGTTTTAATACCCATGGTTTAGTAAACCGCAGACAAGTCGAGAATCAAAATGGTTCCAATTTTGATTTATATATTTATATTTAGGGATACATACAATTAGCAAATTACAGAGCATCCTAAAAGGCATTTCTACCTCTTTTTCTTTTGCGCTTTGTTTTTGTACCAATCGATCCAAAGATTCAAAACCCACAAAATACTAAGACAAATGGCAACTGAAATCACAACCATCCAAGAAACCCATGCCCATCTGGGGATCACGGGGTCAGCCGCCCCGCTCACGTAGAACACCGCCATCCTGTACATGAACATTGGCCCTAAAATCCCTCTAAAAACACTGTACAAGGCATAGAATTTAGGGGACAAAAAGTCGTACAATTTGGCCGCGGCGGGCGAACCGGCCCTCCGAAAATCGGCGAGGGTCCAGGCGTTCTGGCAGCCGCTGGTGATCTCAGCAAGGAAGAGAAGAACAAGGATGGCGTGGGCCCCGTGGCGGACGACGTAAAGGCAGGTGGTGAAGACGTAGAGGGTGGCGAGGTGGTGGAGGATGAAGAGGACGTCGTTGGGGAAGAAGAGGAGGTAGTGGAGGAGGTCGAGGGAGAAGTAGGCGATGCTGAATTCGAGCACGGTGTTTTGGGTGGGGGTGTTGGGGGAGGCGAAGGTTGTGGCTTTGTGGCTGCGGAGGATTGCGTGGGCGGCCATGGCGGCAGCGGCGGTGCCGTGGGATAGAGAGATGAGGCAGCTTGATGCTTCTGGTCGGTGTTTTGGGCCCCAGTTGCGGAAGAGTAAGAAGTATGCATAGAGGTAGATGAGGAGAAAGATGGAGAAGAAAGTGGGAAGTGTTGGGGAGGGAAGAATTGAGGTCTCCATGGAAATTAAAAACCAGTTGCAGAGAGGGGGAAGAGAGAGAGAGAGAGAGAGAGAGAATCTGAGTGGATAGAAGGTTACTTACCAGCTTTTGAAGATGATGAGTGAGAATGCTTTAAAGTGAGGTGGATGAAAATTGAAAAGTAGGAAGGAAATCCTGGTGGGTGGACCGGCATTAAACAGAATCCTAATCATGTTATAATTTTCCTTAACTCAACTTGATCCAAGAAAATTTAATATTCAAGGTAAATATATGTTGTTTGTCAAAAGTAACTCGTATTATATGTAGATTAGAATTTAAGAGGGGTCCAATGTCCAATGTCCAATGTCCAATGTCCAATGTCTAATTACTTTATATTTTATATGTAATTTTATTTTACAATTTATGCATAATATAAATATATAATTATGTATTTTTTTAAATATAAGAGAACACTTATTTATTTTAAATATAATAAATTTGTTTAAATCTACCAGAGTCTTTAAATAAAATAATAATAATAATAAAATTATGGCTATTTAAACATCAAAGTCAACGAATACAAGTTTAATGGATTTCTACTCTCACCTTCGACGGCGGTCGATTATTCGGATGTCAATTTTTGGAATCCTAACACGTAATAATCTTATCTTTTATGCTTCCAACCAAAAAAAATAAAGAAATATTCCTTGCATCTATTTTTTCCTAAGGAAAACTAATGAAAAGGGCTTGAAAACTTTGAGTTTTAATGATAAGAACAAAATAAAGAGTAAAATGAATAGTACCAGAATTGACTTTTTAATGTAAAAATGTGATTTTTCGTTAAAGTGAACAGTTATGGATGTTTTTCGTTAAAGTTCCCTTTTTTCTATGGTCACTAAAGTAGAGTTGTACCATACAAACCCTCGATTCCAATGGCTGGCTTAACAATAAGGGAAGTTTACAGCTCTACGTGGTATCCCGATTTAATTATATCAGGTCATGCGGAGAAAAAACACACGTACAATGCAATGTTACTAGTCTAGATGCCACAGTGACAGTAAATATACGGAGTGCATAGTTTTGGAGGCAATACATCCTCGGAATTCTGTGTCACAACATAATCGATTTTACCAAACACATTCCACAAACAGTGTCATTTTACAGAGATTTTTTAGTGCCATTAACAAGCTAAAACTGAAATTCTATCAAACCTTGCAGTAAAATTTATTGTCGAACTAACTTAAAGCAAAAGATTTGTAACTTGTTGAGCTTTCACTTAAGTTCTTACCGTCATAGTAGAAACCACTGAATCCATCTCGTATAATCCGAACCCCGAAGCTCAAAGGCTGTAATACACTTCTCCGAGGCCGGCGGTAGAGTAGACCTACATCACCATCCCTCCATCAATGGTGAGCACCTGCAAGAACGGCATCGATAAATAAATTTCAAGAAAGGTTTCTGATAAACCGCCCTACAAAAGCTCCTTAATTGCAACATAGTCACCACAATACGCACTACTGCCGTCGTGATCTAGGGTCACTTGTCCAAAATGTGATACACTTCCATTCTAATTAGTTTTGATGATCCAAATATCTCCTTCACTTATCTCTTCAATAAATCATTTTGAAGGGAAACGCAGTACGTTAATAACTAAAGAACTTCTGTACATTATGATGTTTGAGGGAAAAGAGGCTAAACTTATCCGAAGAAAACATGTAAACTCCATCACATTCAAACTTATCACTTGTAGTTAAACCGTCAACTTGAGTCCAAGTCAAATCCATCATGGGTTGAAGATAGGTGGCATATACTGCATTCCTATTCTCGTTTCATAGACCATAACAAGTCACATTAAAGTAACTGGCCGCAGGACTAAGGGCCAGTTACTTAAATGTGATTAATTAAAAACAAAAAGATCATACCTGTCCGGTCATGTAACTGGCCGCTGGACTAAGGGCCAAGAATTCCACCAGTCCAGCAACTTCGTCGGGTTGGCCGTATCTTCCTGTAATCACAGCCACCATGAAATAATTTTAGCAAACTATTATCAGTATTATTACAAAATATCTGACTTGAATAATTAGAGTTTCCCCAGACTCACCTAATGGGATAGTCTCCAAAATTTTCTTCTCAATGTCATCGCCTAGCTTGGCAGTCATGTCTGATGCAATAAAGCCCGGGGCAACAGCATTAACCTGAAGGAAATCCATTGTTTATTAATTATGACCCACTCCATAAAACAGCATTAATATCATCTCGGGATGAGTCGATTAGTATAGCAAATATGAAAAAACATGGAGCACTCACATTGATGTGTCTGCTGGAGTACTCCTTAGCAACAGTCTTGGTCAGACCAATTACTCCTGCTTTTGCAGCACTGTAGTTGGCTTGTCCAACATTTCCAACTAGACCAACAACGGATGCTATATTGATAATCCTTCCCTGCAAGAAGCATTATCCGACTGAGATAAGACATAAGAAGAAAAGGGCGGGGAATCTCCTTTGAAAGGAATGGCATTCACCTTCTTCTTCTTCATCATGATTTTAGCTGCTGCCTGAAACAAACAAGTTTAAGTTTCTCAGTTCCACATTGAAGTCAAGTAGCATTTCCATGAAAATGAAAATTCAAAGCACACACCTGGGTGCATAGATATACACCAGTAAGATTTAGATCAATGACCTCCTGCCATTGTTTTAACTTCATTCTCATCAATAGACCATCCCTGGTAATTCCTGAAATCATGGTACAAAAGTTAAGACGATCGTGTTTGAAATTGGACATTACACAAAAAGTAGGTGAAGTTTGGAATAACCTGCATTGTTTATCAGTACATCAACGGTTCCCCAAGCATCAAGCGCCTGCAGATGCAAAATCATTAAGCACACCAAACTAGCATAACCATGCCAAAACAACCCAATTAATCATAAGAAGGAACATTTGCTTACTGTTTTGAGCATCGCCTCAACATCTTCTTCTTTCGAAACATCTCCTCCGAAAGTAATAGCTTGTCCACCGAACGCCTCAATCTGAAAGAACACAAAATCAAACACACATTCACTAATCATAGCACACAACAAATTTCAAGTCAGCAAGACTAATTCGGATAATTTGCATAGATGATTTTACTGTACCTCTTTGGAAACCTCCTCGGCCTCCTTCGATGACCTTGCGTAATTAACGAGGACCTGCATGCACACACAATCATCAATTCACAATCAACAACCAAAGCCCAGAATACAGAAACAAAGAATATTACACTAAAAAACTAACCCTGCAACCAGCTTTGCCCAAAGACAGAGCAATTGCTCTGCCAATGCCTCTAGAAGCTCCGGTCACCACCACCACCGGACCCTCCACGATTTTGGCTTCCCCGGCGCTCGCTTGCTCAAGCGTCGCCACCTGAGCCCTCACGTGACCTGTCACGTGTCACCACCATCACCATCAAATTCCAAATTTCTTACATAACACTGCCAACAGCCTTCTGATTTCTGTATTCTAAATCCCTAATCAGGTTAAATCAAAACAATACCAATCGTTTTCTATAGCTAATTGCAATTCGAATTACCAGAGGAAGTGGAGGAGCGCTTGGATCTGTACTGAAGCCCAATGCTCCGACCCGATCCGGCTGCGCCGCCAATCGGGGCCCATTGCTTAAACTGGCAGGCCCTGGCGTCGGCGGGAGCTCCAAATTTACCGGCGGACTTTAGAGCGACGACGTTTGATGCAGCGATGGAAGCCATGAGAGAGCTCGGGAGGATTGAAAAACGCCAAGGGAGAAGTGAGAAGCTAGAAATGCGAGGCAATGCCGTTCGGCTTTTATAAAACGAGTGCGTTTTGGTGCGGTTTTTTCTGCGTTGAAGTGCTTTGGGAACTCCGGAGAGAGTCGAGACGGTTGGGAGTGGCGATGGAAACAAGGCGTCGAGTGAAGAAGCTTGAGCTGGTTCTTAGTAGGTGGCTGCTGGGATTGACGAGTGGGGCTGCTTTTGCATTTAATTACCATGCAGCCACTGATGACAGTGATGAGGGTGTTGCTGGGAGGGGTA